TCGTAATCGAGTATAAATGTTGATGTCTATGGGCCGCAACAACCACTTACCATCAGGTGGACTGTGTGCACGTTTGTTACCGTTATTCTATAAAAAAGTGCTTTTTCATCATTGTTTCACTAAAAACTAAACACCGTAAACTTCCTGATAGGGCTATTACTGAGAAATTCTTAACAGAAAAATTCTGAAGAATGAAGGTAAAAAAATTAAATGAAATACAAACAAGTGTAGGTATAATGGTAATCTCCCACCCGTTTTTGCAGTGTTAAGTATGGCGCAGGCCACTAAGAGGAATCAGTTGGTAATTCTACGATACGATGTCTCGATGTCGTTGCTATGCCCGTTGGGGTATTCTTCTAGTGTAGCCAAGGAAGATCGTGTTGCTGATAGGCTGCCCTGTGTTACATTTAGATGGGTAGTGCTGCTGCTGGTTTGCATACTTTGGTGTTATCATGTAACTGATAGTAACCAGGGTTTGTTACCTAGTAGTGTTCTTTTAATTAAATAATTTTGAGTTTTTATTTGCATGGGGAAGTAAGGTTCTCGAGTGACAGCCTCTTACTGGTAAGTGAAGTGTAGGGCGGCTCTACACTAGATAGGTTACGACCTGGCAAGAAATGCAGTTGGCTTACGATCGTACTTTGTGATATTTTTGGAGCAGGCCTATGTTCAGCAGTTGAACTGTGAAGGGCTGTGATGATGATGAAACCACGATACAGTAAAATATTTCAACATTAATAGTATAGGTATATAGTCGTTATTTAATAAATTACCTGCAAGTTGTCAACTGAAGACCGATTCAATTATAGGAAATGTATTTCATTCCACGTTTCGAAGTTTGCTTACATCTTATTCCTCAGGGGTCACAACGCATCTGCATTTTGATTCGTAATCGAGGATAGATGTAGATGTCAATGGGCCACAGCAACCACTTACCATCAGGTGGACTGTGTGCTCGGTTGTCACCCTTATTCTATATAAAAAAAACGCAGCCGAAAATGCTTGACAAAATATTATCGTAGCCTAAGTGAATTTAATCTGTATAAATGACATTTTGAAAATATATATTTTTCAACGTTTTGATTCGATTTTATAGTTATTTTATGATAAATATTATTTTGAAATAATTTTATAACTACACCAAAATGAACATTACATTCAAAAAGAAAATAACTAAAAAGGATCTGCCACCTGTAAGCTAATATATTGAAATTATACAAGAGTCGTTAATCAAAATATGTTCCTTAAATTATATGAGATAACAATCTAACTGAATATGATACCTGAAATTAAACATGCAACTGCTAATTGTTAGTTAATGCAACTGAAAAGTAAAGGCTTCTAAATATCTTAAAATTGTTATTCATTTCCATCTTGTGTATTGTAATAATGTACTTACTTATTATTATTTCAAGTTCATAGCCATCATTACAGCCATTCACAAGTCCACTGCTTAACATAAACCTCCCCCAAAAATGCCACAAACAAGGTCCTGAGTCATCTGCATCCATCTACTGTCCTACCCGTGCCCGATTTAGACAAGTTTATATATACTTGTCTAAATCGTAAATACTTGTATATATATATATATATATATATATATATATATATATATATATATATATATATATATATATATATATATATATATATATAATATATATACAAATACGATATCCTAGTTAAGCTGTTGTTTGCACCATTCAGAAGGAGTTCACTTCAATGTATGTCATTTTTGTAACAGTATGTAATAAGTTGTTACTCTGTTTAGTGGAGGTCCACACTACATTTCGCTTAGCGATACGAGGCTACCAATCAAGAAACTTTCTTTCCCATATATAATATAGACTATCAATTCATCCGAATGTAATATAACATTATGATTTTTCATAAATTAAAGGATCAATAAAAATTATTTCTTTATTCTTCAAATTGTTTGATTCGTAACAAAAGTAAACATAAACCGGCCGTGAAGATTGAAGAACTGACAACCGATGAGAAAGAAGAGTACTTGAGATGCAGCTACGAACTGGCAAATGCAGTGTTGGGCGACCCGCTCTTTCCCACAATATCAATTCACGAGTCGATGAATGGAAGCAGCGCAGGACCGTGCTTTGTGATGGACTGTAATGATTATGATAATGATAATGTTACCTTTCAGGAGTTTTCAGATTTGACATTCAAAACAATAACACGCATTTCAGAAAATCCTCACGTTTACGGTGTTCTTTACTTTTGTAACAGTAAGTAATTTTATTTTATTTATCATCTGCCTCGCCCATTTTACGTCGATATTGCCCTAATCGTTACACTTGACGTGTGGATTTACGATTGCAGTACCAGACGTCTCGTATCATCGACCCCACTCCTCGTAACTGGTCTGGATATTTTACGTCTGGCGTAATCGATATGGTTACACCGCCATCTATCTGAAGCCATAAGATTTTTTTGGTATTTACCCACAGTCGTCACTTACCACACCTGCGAGAGGAAATGGCGTGATGAACTAATTATTTTTAATATATATAGAGTGACAAACGAGCATATTGGTGATGCATACACCTGATGGTAAGTGGATGCTGCGGCTCATTGACATCTACATCTATCCTCGATTAAGAATCACAATGTAGATGCGTTGTCATACGTGAGGACTAAGATCGAATGCCTCGTTTCCACTAAAGAGGGGTCTCTGGTTCTCTGCACTATATTTTGTGAGAGCGTGGTTCGTCCCCGGTCGAGCTGACACATTCGTGCTAGAACTATAAAATAGCTACAATGTGTTAACGGGTCGTTTACGACCTAGTTTCTGGAATGTTGTTAGTGACGATTAAAGAAATATAATATGGAAATAAATTAAAATGGCAAGAATATGGGACAAGAATGATCATGTGATATTTTATTTATATCTTAATACTCGTATTATTTGAAGGTTCATTTCATTGGTTTCTTGTTTTAGATCAAACGCAACTGTGTACCCTTCCAAGAAATATGGCACATGTGTTATGTAAAAAAATACCCCAGTTAAGTTTAGCTACTCGTCGAGCCGTAACTGAAATTGTAAGTATTAAATTCATGTTTTAAAGAACTATTCATAAATGTAATGCATTATCATTGGGAACTATCACGTCCACGTTGTGCCTATTAATTAATATTTCTCTCTCTCTCTCTCTCTCTCTCTCACTCTCTCTCTCTTTGTTCATCCACTATAAATATAGCACCACTATAAAAATAGAAATAGAAGTGAGAGGTGCAACGTTGATTTTAGCTACGCCAACTTAATGAGCGACGCGTTGCTTTCTGGTATATACCGTAATAACTACGGGCCCACAAATGACTTCCGTAAATCAACGAACAGTGCTCCAGCAACATTCATTCAAAACTCCTGAACTCACATACCACATGTTAGTATAGTAATTGTTGGTATAGTTGTGAAACAGTAGCGAGTCTGTGTTCACGATCCCGTCTTCCTAGTATTGATAATATATTCATTTTAAGTTTAAAAACAGGAAAGTCTTAGTATTTTGAATTATTAAAATAATATTGCAAACTTCTTTAAAAAGTACATGGCGTAAAAGAACCCAATACCGTACATCCTATGGGTATCGTAAAATGAGACAGAAGGAAATGAAACAGAAGGAAATGAAACAGCAATTAGTATCTAGCAACTCAAATGATAAAAGATATGCGATTTGCAACCTACCTGCCAAGAATAAAAACTATAACACGTATTTTCCATATGATGAAAACTATGGCGGAGACCTATGTCAGCAGTAGTTTTTTTTTTTAAATTAAAATAACTTAACCCCCACACTAGTTTTCCCCTGTATCGTGAATGCAGTTTACATACATAAATTGTACAAGAACAAACATCCAGAACCGGAACAATTACTTGTTCCATGCGGGATTCGAACCTACGGCCCTTAGCGATGTATCTCATTCCTAACCCACTGCGCCAAGGAAAAAATTTGAGCACCATCTTGAATAAAATCAGCTCTGCACATCTTTAAGTAAATTAGTGATAAAACGTTTGTTCAAAGCATTAAGAAAAAAAAATATTAAAATTTGTAATAGGATGTATTAGACGAGTTGGTCGCGTATCGTATTGAAACTAATCGCACTGAAATCGCTGTGGCCGTGGGCGAGGAATTTGAGGCTTGCGTGGTTCATAAGTCACCAGAGAGTAACAAAGGTCAAAGGAATAAAATTATCTGGAGCTATTGAGTAAGTTGAGTCTTTTGATAATATTTGATACAAATATGAATATGGAGTTTAGTATATTTGATGTATGTGTTATTAGTATTAATGATGAATATTCTTGTCAATAATTCATAAATAATACTTATTTAATAATACCTTTATAAACTCTTATTATATGTTTTTTATTTATTTTCCTTAAAATATATATGTACTGAAAATGTTGTTATCATCATTACAGCCCTTCACAATTCCACTGCTGAACATTCATCGACTTCCTATATCTTCACCTGCCTTACTCCATCTAGTGGGGAAATGCCTTACACTTCGTCTGCCGGTAGGAGGCTGCCACTTAAGAACCATTCTTTTCCATCGGTTGACCGTTCTTTAAAAAGTATCTTTATACGTGGTAGAGCCATGCTGCATCTATATTATGGTTGTAGCACGAATGGGTCGGCTCGACCGGGGAAGGACCACGCTCTCACAGAATACCAGCGTAAAATGGCAGCTTAACGTTGCTGTGTTTCGTATGGTGAGTGTAGAGAACCGGAGACCCTTTTTACTGGAAACGAGGCATTCCATCTTAGTCCTCACGGGTGACAACGCATCTGCATTTTGACTCTTAATCGAAGATAGATGTAGATGTCTATGGGCCACAGCGACCACTTACCATCAGGTGGACTGTGTGCTCGTTTGTCACCCTTATCCTATAAAAAAAAGTAAATTAAACAAAATTTAAAAAAAATGTTGTGTAACATATATAAATTTGTGAATATAGGTTTAAGACTGAAACAGACTGTAGCGTAATGAAGATTATCACTAATCTGTTGAAGGATTCAGAGGATGAATATCTCATGCAAACAGTAAGTAGAATAAAACAAACCCAAAATTATTTAATTTTTGCCTTATTATTATCTTGACGTTGGTTTACCTATACATAAAGACAAAAGGGAGAGTTACAGCCTTTAAACTTCCCGTAACTGCCCAGATCTTTCTCATTTCAGCAGCACAGCGGATTAATTTCGTCCTTACAACAATGCTTACCTGTATAAAAGTTACAGCGTATATACGTCACACTGCTGGGCACAGGCCTCCTTTCATTTCTGACAGGGTTTCAGGGCAAGGAAATGTCCACTGCACTGCCCCAATGCCTATTGCTAAACTTCACATGTCTTCGAAAAATGATTTTTTTGATTTCTCAGATATACAGGTTTTCTCACGATATTTTACTTCACTACCGAGCACGTGGTAAGTCAGCACTTATAATTGCAATTAACAATTTTATTGTTGCTGGTAGGGATCGAGCCTGGGTTGCTCGCGGCTCCTCACCTGTTTATACATAGTTATTTAACTGTGCATAGCCAGCTAATTACCATACAAGGTGTCAGCCAAACAGTTCTCTTTACCGTTACAGCCTATTAAAGTCCACCGCTGAACATAGATCTCCCTATAGATTGCCTCATAGGTGGGTTGTTTGTCAAAGTTGCCACGCTTGGCATGCCGGTTGGCAACCGTAGTTTTTATATTTTAGTAACACGCTTGTATTATTAGGAATACGCTTTTGCCCATCTCCTGGTTTGTTTCCCTCTGTCGCTTCTTTCGAGACCCACGGGACGATATGGAGTAGTCGATATTCTTACACAGTCACTATGGGGTCAAATTAACTAAGTACGAAAATTGGTAACGAATTCTGATTTATTTAAAAGCAATTTATTCACTTTAAATATGAAGAGGTGGTAAGAGGGGTGTGGAATGGGGTTTTAAAAACTCGAAATCCCACCTCATCTCCAAGTGCTATCTTACATATTCGATTTTTAATTTACTACATATTGACTACGACAATGGCGACAACTTAAGAATATAATCGAAAACCATTACATGCAAAGAAGATCATATAGCCCCGCTAAGTATACCCGTTGTCTATACGTGGTAGAACCACTATTGTTATGGTTGCAGCACGAATGTATCAGCTTGACCGTGGAAGACCAAGCTTGTCCAGAATATCAGCATAAAACAGCAGCTTAATGCTACTGTATTTTGTAGTGTGAGTGCGAGACCTGGAAATACATTTTACTGGTTAAGAATCATTTCATGTTAGTCCCCAGGTATACTGTTTTTTAATCGAGGGTAGATTAGGTGTCTATGGGTCCCAAGATTCGCTTAAATATATTGATAGGATTACTCTCGTGCTCGTTAGATGCCCTAACGCCTTGCGCAAAGCGGCTGGTAACGGCTTGATATGTAGTGTTGAAATCAGGTAAAGGCCGCACCTTGCTCTTGCAGTTAATCATCATAGCTCAGTGATGATAATAACGATGATGATGATGACAAGTTTTTACTGGGTATGGTCTTTAAGCGTTCATTGATTTCTAACAAATTATCACTACTCAATCGACATTAGTTCTTCCAGCTATACGCCTGGTCCATTATCACAATTCATCTTTGTCTCTTAAAGATCGCAAAACTGGACATAGACCATTTCCATGTCATAGGGTATGGCTTATAGAATTATCGATTACAGTTCCACCACCTCTTGCACGATCCCCATCTGCACCGACGAAATAGTTAATTTTTATCAGTGCTGTTTTACTACGCTGGAGGTAAAAAAAAACATCTAGTAAAACCTGCATATTTTAGGAATAAAAATATTTCGAGAACATGTGAATTCTGACAATGGACACTTTATCAGAGCAGCTAATGATTCCATAACCTTCACAGAAACAGAAAGAGACTTGCGCCTGTGTAGAACGTTTATAGTATTTTTTTTAAAACAAGGCTGTCCTACGAGCACACAATCCACCTGATTGAAAGTGGTTGCTGTTGCCCATAGAATCATCTTTCCTCGATTAAGAAATAAAGTGATGATTCGTTATCAACCCTGAGGACAAAGGTAGAATGCCTCGTTATCAGTAACAACACACAACAAACAACAGCATTAAGCTCCTATTTACGCTGGTCGAACCAAACCAACCACAATATAGTTGCAGTGTGACTTTTCCACGTAAAAGTTAGGTTATAAATTAACTTAACTTTAAATATAAGGTTCTTGATTGCTCTACGATCTTCAGTTCATGAAATCTCCTGAAAATTTTCATTAGATACCTATGTAAGGAAATCCAAAGAAATACAGGATGTTGGAGTTGTTTACGCCATCACCACATGACTTCGACGTTAATATATATGTTTTTATTGATTTGCAGACGGCTTCGATAAATGAAATCAATCCCATTATTGACAGAATAATGGAAGATGAGTCTGTAGAAGGTGTTGTAATGACGAATAAAGAAGGTAATCTTGTTTAGATTGCAATAACTTAATGTTATAAAGTTGAAAAGAATCAAATAAATTTAAAAAAAATATTATAGTAGATATAGTTTTATGAGGTATAAATCTTGCTTATTATCGTCATCCATTATCTGTCACCCAACCCCGTCCGGTGGATGTTTTTTAGTCATTGAAGTGTCACACGCACTTACCATTCACCTGATTGTAAATGGCTATTATAATTCATGAACACCTGCAACCTACTTCAACAAAGAAAGCTGCAGATGCATTATCATCTATGCGTATATAATGATGTATAATGCAATGCCTTACAGCCACTAACTATACCGACTCCCTAGAACCTTCGAACCGGAACAGAGTAGTCCATGCACTCCTGGTACGGTGGCATGTAAAGGTAAGAAGGTAATACTAACCCAGAAAGAATCCTAGGCAGAATAGGCGTACTAACACTTAGTAAGATGGCTTTTGGATGACAGAAAATGCTCATGACCTTCGATACATTAACAAACAAGTTTTTAGTATTTATAACACGTTTGAATATCCATATCGACTGCGAGATTCCGCGTCAAATGTCCGTAAATTCTGTGGTTCATTCTTTATATCTTAAAAAAAACATTACCTACACATCATAAAATTCTCCTTTATCGGAGGCAGTTTATATACACAAATTTGACAAGGACCAAAAACAGTTATTTGTAAACCATACAAATACTTGTTACATGTGGGATTCGAACCCGCGTCCTTGGTGCTACAACTTGTTGCTAAGCGACTACGCCACGGAGCCATCAATTGCCAATTATTCATATTCTTTTTTTTTCTATAAGATGGGGTGACAAACGACCACACAGTCCGCCTGATGGTAAGTGGTTACTTGTGACCCATAGACATCTACATCTATCCTCAATAAAGACTCAAAATGCAGATGCGTTGTCACCCGTGAGGAATAAGATGGAATGTCTCTTTTCCAGTAAAAACGGTCTGCGGTTCTCTACACTCACCATACGAAACACAGCAGTGTTAAGTTGCTATTTTACGCTGGTATTCTGTGAGAGCGTGGTCCTTCCCCGGTTGAGTCGACCCATTCGTGCTACAACAATACTACTAATATAGCTGCGGCATGGCTCTACCACGTATAAAAATATTGGATTACAATTAGCTAGCTGATAAAAAAGAATGAATAAATAAATAGTTTTATAGACAAAATCATATTTTAACTATAGAAGCTATTTAGTCAATGTAGATCTAAAGTTTAAATCAAACATTTTTAAAGGTGCTCCAATCCTAACGAATATAAACCTGATGGGTGCAGCGAATTACGGAACTGCCATGCAAAGCTTGGGATTTATGGCACAGGCGTGTGTTAAAGAAATAGTAAGATAAAGCTACTGTTCTTCTTTTCCTTTGAGAGCCATTATTATAAGAATATCAGAGTTGCAAGAAATTTAAAGAATAGGTTCCTAACGATCGCGTGTTGTCGCGCTTTGCTTAACTGATCCAGCTAGACAAACGAGAAATATAATTGCAAATCGAACTGTTCACGGTTATGACAAATTGACAAAAACATTATTCCGCATTCCCCTGTTCCCTCCTCCAAAACTATACAAATTTAATTTTTTCAACGAAATATGAAGTGGTGGCGAACGTATAGTGGCGGTGTAAGAATATTCACTACCCCATATCCTCCCGTGGGTGTTGTAAAATGCGACAGTGGGAAATTAAAACAGGTGATGGGCAGCAGCATCTTCCTGATAATAACTCAAAATAATAAAAAAAAACTGTGGTTACCAACTCGCCTGTTATGCGTAGCAACTATAGCAAAATCCCTCCCTATGAACAATCTATGCGGGAGGCCTATGTACAGCCAATATATTCATTAGAATTGTGACAATATATTCATAAGATGTTAGAAGGATTTTTTTCTTATAGGATAGGGTGACAAACGAGCATACAGTCCACCTGATGGTAAGTGGTTGCTGTGACCCATAGACATCCACATCTATCCTCAATAAACAATTAAAATGCGGATGCGTTATCACCCGTAAGGACTAAGATGGATGCCTCTTTTCCAGTATAAAGGGTCGCCGGTTCTCTATACCCACCATACGAAACGCAGCAGAGTTAAGCTGCTATTTTACGCTGGTATTCTGTGAGAGCGCTGTTCTTCCCCGGTCGAGCTGACCCATTCGTGTTATAACTATACTATTAATATAGCTGCAGCATGGCGCTACCACGTACAAAATTGTGACTATGGTCTGTATGTTTTTCTCAAGGCGCTCAAGATCGCTTAGCGAACTATGGAGAGAGCTATGCTCGGGGCTTCTCATGTGATAGACTTAGAAATGAGGATATTCGCAGTAGAACCAGAGTGAATGACTTAGTCCAACGGATTAGTAAGCTGAAGTGGCGGTGGGCCGGCCAAACAGCTCGAAGAACGGACAACCAATGAGGAAAACAGGTTCTCCAGTGGCAGCATCGTGCCGGTAGGCAAAGTTTAGGGCTACCCCCCATTAGATGGATTCACGACCTGCTAAGACATCCAATTAGCCCTTGGATGCTCAGGACCGATGCTTTGCGACAATCCTTGGGGTAGTCCTATGTTCAGCAGTGGACTTGTGAATGGCTGTAATAATAATGATGATGAAGTGTCCTTACCGTACTTCCCCTTTTGCTTACTACCCCTTTAGTTGCGGGTTTGTCGGACCAAATCATGCAGCCTTAATCTAACCTTAATTATCTTAAGCTTCCTTCACTGCCAAGCACGTGGTAAGTTAAAACTTAAGCTACAATTTACCATTAATTGGGTGCCGGCGGAGATCAAACTTTAAATGCTTGCCTAATTTTCGGCAAACTCTTAGCATCTGAGCTACTGAGTCCTCGTATCTTTAATCATTTGAAATTATTTAAGAGAGAAAAAACAGTGAGTTTCTTTTAACATAATAAAGGTGACAAACGAACTCACAGTTCACCTGATGTGGATGCTATGGCTCATAGTCGTCTACATCTGCGAGTATGCTCGATCAAAAGAATCAGAATACAGATGCGTTGTCACCCCTGAAGACTAACTCATTTCCAGCAAAAAGGGTGCTCCAGTTCTCTACACTCACTATATGAAACACAGTAGCACTAAGCTGCTGTTTTACGCTGGTGTTCTGTGAGTCCGTAGTTTTTCCCCGGTCGAGCAGACCAATTCGTGCTACAACCATAGTTTAACACCACGTATAAATAATATTTTAGGATCCCTTTGACGAAGTTATCATAATGAGGACGAACACGCGCAAATTCGAAATCATGTTGGCACCCGATCCCGAATTCAATATTGTAGTGTTGCAGCGCTCAAGAATCAAATCCAAACAAAAGAAATAATACTGTGAAGATTAACCAACATTTACAAAAGTGTCTATTTAATGTTTTAAATTAAGTTTTAGAAATATTTAATAAAAGTCTTTTATGAAAATCGTAAGACAATTTTTTTTCTTAGGGCTTGTTCTTTTTTGTGTTTTTTTTATGTTTCTGTAATCCGTTATGTAGGTTGGGTTTGAAGTGACAAACAAGCAATATAAAAAGTTCACCGGATATTAAGTGGCTATTATTCGTACAGTCCATGAACAGCTGCAACCAAAATCAAACAAGTAAATTGTACAAGTGTACAGATGCATTGCTTACTCTGAGGACCAAAATTCAATGCCTCGTGCCTTGTGGTTAAATTAGCTTGCTTTATCCTTGAGACCAAAATACAAAAACGATAGTTTGGTGGAAGAAATTGATAAGGGAGAAGAAGTTACAACGCAAGATAAGAGTCCTACCATCTTGAAAACTTGTAATTAAATAAAACCCACCTGCTCCACTGCTAGAAATGCTAACCAATTTTATCGTGGTAGAGCCATGCTGCAGCTATATTAGTAGTATAATTGTAGCACGAATGGGTCGGCTCGACCGGGGAAGGACCACTCTCTCACAGAACACCAGCGTAAAATAGCAGCTTAACACTGCTGTGTTTCGTATGGTGAGTGTAGAGAACCGGAGACCCTTTTTACTGGATAACGCATCTGCATTTTGGTTCGCAAACGAGGATAGATGTAGATGTCTATGGGCCACTTACTATCAGGTTTTTTTATAGGATAGGGTGACAAAATAGCACACAGTCCACCTAGACTAGACCTACCATGATGACTACCATGAATGCCGCGCTTACCTCGGTTACCCTATCTCGCTACCTAGACCAGCGCGATAGGACGACGGTATTTTTGGCTTATGAATCTTATTAATAGAAATTATATATCTAACCTTTTTTCATTTACTTTATACCTGTCTATTATTTTACAAAATGGTAACAGCGCCATTTATGGAATGTGTTTCGATCGTACTCGTTATCTCGTGATCGTACTGTACTATTTCATCTTCATCACCCACAATACGAAACAATGTGATGGGTTCTCTTACACCTCCAACTACGATAACAATATTTTTGTTATATAAGTAATATATAAATATAATTAATACAACAGGTTCATTGGTTCATTCATGACTACAGCCTAACAAACGTCCACTGCAGAACGCTAAATATAGGCCTTTCCGTATATAGTCTCATATTTGATATATTTGCCATAGTTGCCACGATTGACAGGTGGATGGCAACTGGTGTTTATTATTTTTAGTAGTTGCTAGAAAGGCGCTGCTGCCACTCTCCTGGTTTGTTTTCCTCTATCGCCTATCTCGACATCCACAGAGCGAAATGGGATAGGGGATATTCTTACACCCCCACTACACTGACATATGTACATCGTCATTAACTGGTTAGTATCAGGTTATAGTAAGAATTATCGTAATGTGGCGGTAAAAAATAATAAATATTGTAAGAGACGACTATGCGAAATGAAAGAAAGATCTTGTAAATGGATAATATGGATCCCGATTCAAACCGTGTTTCCATTTCTATACGCCAGGCACGGAATACCCAGCTTTAAAGCGACTAGAAGTCGCTTTAAAGGTGCGAAGTGTGTGATGTTGCGAATGTCGATTTGCCTGATCTTTGGAACGACTAAGGCGATTCCTCCTTACGAAGGGAGAAGCCCATGTCCAGCCGTAAAAGACCACGGCTGTACGGACACATTATAATAAAGAAAGAGAACGCTAGGTGGTTTCCGAAGTGGTCCTTTTCTGTCTAATCTAAGATTTTACCGGAGTTGGTACCACCCTTTTACCCACTCTAGTCACCAAACAGTGCACCCACTGCTGTGTTTTAATAAGAATTCTAAGAGCTCCAGAATGTTTTTGCACTATTAATCCCAATCATCCGAAGTGATAACGCATCTCATAAATCTGTTGCCTATTTTATCTGAATTCGTTTGATCCAAAGGCTGAAGAATACAATTTCTATTAGGTGTACTGGTGAATCATTTGTCTCACTAATGTTGTTAAATATAACAAAACCTCAAGTATACAAAGAATTCAAAAAGATTGCTGTAATTTTTCAGAAAAACTTTAGCACTTGTGTTTAAGAACGCGCTTAAATAACAAACGACTTTTGGAGCTTTTGTCTCTTTAAAGATATTTTGCGACATTACTTCCTGATTGCTTTATATTTATACAAAGAAGTAAATTAAGAGTTATTTATTCGGAAACTTAAAAGAAAAAACTAAAGGTAAATATTCTGTTTTTGTTACTAGAAGTTTTAAAAACTTGAGAAGAAAATAATTAAAACTTAATAACTTTTCTGTTATATAGATTATATAGCGCCATATTAGATCGAAGAGAGAGAGAGAGAGAGAGAGAGAGATACTAGATTAGACGCTAGACTTTGCTCGCATTTAATTTCAAGCCGACAATTTTGTTATTATGGTTTACAGCCTATTAAAGTCCACTGCTTAACCTAGGCCTCCCCCATAGATTAACTCATAGGGAGGATATTTGCCATAGTTGCCACGCTTGGAAAGCGGTTTGGCAATGGGAGTCTTTTTATTTTTAGTTGTTGTTAGAAAAACGCCAATGTTCATCACCTGATTTGTTTCTCTCTACCGCCTATGACGACACCCACGCTTTAGAGCAACACATCCCCCCCCCCCCTCGCTCGTGACCATGGGTTGAGTGTTAAGAAATTATTACACATTAAAAGGAATGCCCACCGTTCTTAGGCATTTCAGTCATAGGTGTACACACATATAAAAGCAAGTGGAAATGATAATATGCAAAAGAATGAAATGGTTAAGGAATTGTTTTAAAAAAAAGTCCGAATTTTTAAGATATAAAGGTTTTATTTTCACAAGAACAGTTTTTAACAACAAATAACTTCGTATTTTCGTGACATTTAAACCACAATTGACACAGCGTAAATCTCCTCTTGAATAAATTGCTGTGAGCTGGAAAGAACTCTGGCCGGTGTGAAAGCTGGGGTCGTCGTTAACAGTGGATATCGAGTCCAAGTTCGTGCAGAGGTTATCGTTAGAAGCGGGAGCGGGATCCATGTTCAGGCCGTGGTCAATAGGGTGAGAAGAATTATCAGAGTTCATTTAGAAAGCTTATTTCTTGCTTAGATAACAAATCCGCGAGAAAACAAACAAAATAATAAAAATGCAAAGAAATTCGACTTGTGACTATTTAGTTTTGGTAATTATGACATAAGACTAGCTGTTATATTCGATGTTGCTACTTAACAGATATAAAATCGATAAATGGATATCGACGTTTTTTATTCGATTTATAATTTCATAAAAAAGAATAATCTTTGATTCGCTTTAAGGTCTTTTTTATAGAGATTTAAGTTCTGAACGCCTTTTAAAATATGTATTGTTTTATTTTTTTTATTTCAATTCCATTTTAAATATATTTTTAAGAACAGATAAGAATAACAGTTAAATTGTGCATCAGCGCTTTTGTTATAGTTTAAAGAGTTCAAGGTAAATAAACCAGCAATTCGCTTGTTTAATTATCATAACATCATAGTAATTATAGAAAAATAATATTAGCATTATAATAATGACACCATAAAAAATCAATTAAAAAAACAGAATCGATTTTCTTAACGAGATTTGTAATTGGCAACACTTTTTATTTCATCCACAATTCAAAATATTGCAACCTTTTTATAGTTATAAAAAGATGTATTTATTTTAACAAAATGTTGGGCGTTTCATGGCCAGAATTAAGCATTTCCATTTTAGGTGGTAGAGCTATGCTGCAGCAATCTTATGGTAGTAGAACGTATGGGTTAGCTAGATCGGGGGACGGCCATGTTCTCATAGAATACCAGCGTAAAATAGCAGCTCAATGCTGTTGTGTTTCATGTGGTGAGTGTAGAGCACCCGAAACCTTTCTCTGGTTCTATGCCTCGTAAGGCATTCCATCTTAGACCTCAGGGGTAACAACGCACCTGAATTTTGATCCTTAATCGAGGATAGATGTAGATTTCTATGGGCCACATTATCCACTTACCATCATGTGGGCTGTGTGTTCGCTTGTCACCCTGATTCTTTCTCTTTTCTGATAAAATTCTGAAGAGAAAACCCAACCAAACCTTAAAGGTCACACAGGCGGTATAATAGGAAAAGCGGTCCAGCAGCCGTCCTGCGAAGAAAAATTGTGTGATGTAAGAAGTGAATAGTGTTAAGAAAGGAATGCTTCGGTCATTTGAACATGTGTAGAGAATGAGCGAGGAAAGAGTCACAAAAATTTGTGCTGAAAAAATGATATATATATATATATGGTAATGTATATAAGTTTATAATATACTTTATTTATTGCAAGAACACTCACTCATGCACACATATGCATCATTAAATTATTTGCTACCTACAACCTGAATTAATCTACATATATTTGAATAAGAAATACAGTTAAAATACACATAAAGTGAATAAAATCAAACTGAAAAAACGTAAATCTGACAAAACTGATCTTTTGCGGGTTATCAAAGACTTTAAATATCCTCGAAATCTTCTAATTCACAAACATGCAGCAGTCACGTCATTAAGTAGATGTCGCCAAACATTGCGCTTTCCAATACGCAGCTGCCACTCGAATACCTTTCTCCCCCAGGTTGTCGGTTCTTCGAGCTATACAGCGAGCCTATTCCCACTGTAGCTTACTGATCTGTTAGACTACGCCACGTTTCAATTCCGTAAGTCATCACGGGCAACACTCATTGGTTGTGCACTTCCGTCATAAGATTCGGAGGAATATCAAACAAGATGATTTGTCGCAATTTTTCTAACGCAGCCCAGCCGAGTTGGATTCGTCGATGGACTTCGCGGACGAAGTTAGACTTACTTACTGGCTCTCTGGACTGACTGATCCGTCCTTTCAGAAAAGAGTATATGATTGTGTATAGTAAAGGGAAGTATACAGCCTGTAACTTTAACTTTTTAAAT